TTCTCAGGAGTGGCATCCATGGGGACTTCTTCACTCTCCTTATCTTGAGTCGAGTCCAGGACTTGCTCATTCAGAGAAGGGGACTTGGTCCCAGCAGCCTTCTTTGATTTCCTTACCAAGGTCTCATCTTCAGACTCAGATTCATCGTCGGATTGACCTGGAGTTGGAGGGAATGGAAGAGGAATGATGTCGGCGTTCCTGAGGGGCGAGTCCTTAGGGACTTCAAGCTTTTTTAGAAGAGACATCCAACCAAGGGTGAAACCCTTGTTGCATGCTTGCTTCACTTGCGTTTCATAGTCTGCTGTGACATCGGCCACCCCCTCATTATAGCCCTTCTCATCGGCGGCCTTGAGCTCGGCCTCTTTTGTTGCTAGAGCATCCTGAAGTTCTTTTTGGGCCTGGACATCTTTTCCTCGGCCTGTCTTTTTTGGGCCTCGAGAACCTTCCTGATGGCCTCGGTGGATTCTGCCTTTTCTTCGGCGTCATTTTGAGCTTTGATAGCAGCCTCGGCTTGATCCTCCAAGGTCTTCATTTTTTATTGCAAGTTTTTATTAGTCTTTTGCAGACTAGCAGCCTTCCTCTTCTTGTTGACAAGCTCCTTCCGATTCTCAAAGGCTTGCACTAAGAAAGAATGAGCATGCTGGATGGCCTGAAAGTGAACAGAAGTTATTAGAAAATATTATAAGTATGAAATGAAGAGATAGAAAGAAAAATTACCGAATAAAGAGACTTACTTGAACAGAGCGCTAAAGCATCAGAGCATAGTTTTCATATTCGCTCAGCTCGGTGTTCCGGTCGAGATCGCCGGGAAGAAGTAGAGCGGTACTAAGAGCAACGCCGACGTTGATGTCGTCGGCACTATCGCTAGCCCTAACTGGCTTATCCTCCAGTGTGATTTGGGAGGCCCAGGGGGCATCGTGCTTTAAAGATCCCGAGGTGGTTGTAGCGGATGACCTCGGCCTCTTTGATCGGGTAGATTCGGATGGTTGGCCCTCGGCAGGCCTCTTCTTGGCGGCAGAATGGGATTTATCGCTCTCAGCCAATTTGGAGATTGGCAAGGTGTCCTCAGTATCAACCTGAGTCACCTTGGCCTTTGGCTGGGCCTTCTTAATTCTTTTTTGCTTTTGCCTTGGCTGAGGCTAGGTTTATGCTGGTTGAGCGTCAACGTCAGTAGGGATGCTGGCTAAGAGGTCTTTGGCAACTGCTTTTTGGCGGCCCATCCCAGCAGAAAAAACTGTTCGGCGTCATTGACGGCGCTGGGATATTGGGATCAGATATGGAGCCGAGGTAGACGGCTGCTTAGCTAGATCAGAGGTCGATCCTTGATCTGGCCGAGATGAGGAGGCTGTTTGAGGAGTTGTGGCAGAAGGAGGTGACTGGCTTTTCTTCTTCTTCTTTGGGACGTCAGGCGGCTCCGATTTGTAGGTTGGGATGAAATTGAGTACCAGAGGGGCTCTCCGTTTGTGGATTGGCAGATCCAAAAGTTTTCTCAAGTCTTTGTTGGGAAAGAAAGACTGACGGAAGCCCTTTGGTGGCTGAGGAAGAGGTACAAGAAAAACAGACATTAGAAACAAACAAAGTATTGAAGACTTTAAAAACAAGTTGGTATGAACACAGGGCTCTTACCATTACCCTCTACAAAAACTGTTTGAGGAAGAGGATAGAGGTGAAGGTCCTCGTCTGGAGCGAACTCCTAGTTCCCCGAGGTAATGAAATAATCATCCCCAGCTCTCTTGTTAGAGTCAGGGAGGTCGGCAACAATTTTGTACTCTGTGGACCTCGGCTTGAGGTAGTATACGTAGCCCATGTCTTTTTTGAGGCCACACATGGTATAGCAATATTGGATGTCGGCTAAGGTAACCCTAACATTTTCTTGTTTGGCTAAGGCAATTATACCATTTATGACTCGGTAGGAATTGATGGCAAGCTGCATAGGGTTCAACTTATAATAATGGATTATCACAGGAAAAAAGATATCAAGTGGGAGCCGAAGTCCGCACTCGATAAAGGCCACAACAGGGAAAGGCATAGAATCAGTTGTAGGCATGATGGAGTCATCCTTCCCAGCCAACCTCAGATGGACGTCGGCAGGGATGGAAAACTCTCGCCTAAAGTATTCTAATTTTGTCGGGGTGTCTACCTTATGCTTCCACATACCCATGACGTCGGCTTAAATGGAAGTATCGGATTTCAAGAAGAAGTATTTTGGAAGGATTTAAAGGACTTCGGCTGAAAACCTAAAAATGTACTAGGGTAAGAGTTTGTATGGATCTAGAAGGAATTTGTTTTAGTTTTTCCTAAAAATTTGTGGGTTCTACAAACAAATCCCAAAACCTAAGTCTATGGGAACAAAGATTGAAGGCAGGAATCTGGAAAAGACACAGAAAACAGAAAATAGGAACGTGTTTCAAAATCAAGAACAAGGATGAACTACCAAGAACACTGTGACAGAGTGTGCGAAAGGGTACAAGGCCAAGAACAATGGCAAAAGTGAGCAAATGTGTGTGCAGGTTGTGAATACTTAAGAAAAGATTGGGCAAAAACAGAATCACGGAGCAACTATACTCAGATACATGAACAGATTAAACTAATCAAGGTCACAAGCAAGTTTGCAAAAATAACAGGGATTCAAGATACCATCAAAAACTGAAACGAGAAGTTTAATCGGGAGGAAACAGTAAACTCACCAAAGAAAAGAAGCCGGTGTTGAGTTTGCCGAGGTCAGACGAACGACAACCGCGAAAAAGATTAGCAAGAACCTTGCCGGAGGAGGTGGACGGAGCAGGTTGCAGAGCTTTGGAAGCTTAGAACAATGGAGGATTAGAAAAAGCTAGAGAAAGAGAAAGCCTTAGAAACGATGGAGAAAAGTGAAAAGATGGAAGAGGGGGAAAAAGTTTTGTTAAAACTTGAAACGGCGGCAAAATAAAATTAATGAAGCCTAGAACGACGAATTCGTCAGACGGCGCATGCAGGCGCGAGACGACTTACAGGCGCGTAACAGGTACAATCTAGTAAGAGGAAGGCACGTGGCTAAAACGGTTGAGTTATTGTGTATGACAGCTCATACGCGAAAAAGTACTCTTAGGGTCCTTGTTCTTTAAAGAGACATGTCGGCCTTGGCGATGGTCTCGGCTGAGATACTTTAAGCCGACATACTGGAAGGAAGTACTGATATAGGTTCCATTACCTCAGAATCTCGAGGTAATAGAACCTAGGGCGCAGTTGTGGGGATATATTTTCTGAGTCCCAACACATGGCCAAGGTGACGCTGACGTGTCAGTCGATGTGCCACGTGTCCAAGTTATGACGCCGAGGTCATCTTGGTTAGGCCGAGGTTATCTCCGAAGATATCGGAATCCGAGATAAGCGGATAAGGCAAAAGAGTCCTAGAATGAGGAAGGACTTTAGCATGGATAAGGATAACACTCTTAAGGAGTTTATCTTTATCTCTTGGAGAGTCCAGGATGAACACTGAGCAGAAATCCATTAAAGCTAGGCTTCTATGGGACCTAGGATTGAGTTAATTATAAAAGAAAGGCACCCCCGATGGGTCTAAGGTACGCAATTTATATTCTGAATAGTGAGATTAGCATTATTGATTATCTTTGAGAGATATACTGTCTTGATCGTCGGAGTGCCCCCGGGTGGACGAACCACCGCCGGAGTATTCTCTTTCTGTTGCAGGTTAGTCAGGTGCCATCTATTCTGCCAATGCTTTGCAGCTGAATACTGAGTTGGGCAGTGTGGTCGGAAATTCACTCACACAGTGATATAGATAGATAAGTAGATAAAGAGATGAATACTTAAGTGACACTTAAATAAATAGATGAAACGTTGATAGCTAGGTGAACAGATAAATCACATTGGATAGATAGGTGAAACAATAGACAGGTGAAACAATAGACATATATATATATATATATATATGTATAGATAGAGGTAATATGATCTTTCAAATTATTGTTTTCTTTATGCTCCAAATGATTAAAGCTTGGGACTATTACATTAAAAATTTTAAAATTAAATTTATGGTCCAAGTGCCCGTTATTTTTTAACTTTTTTAATTTATTATTATAAGAAAATGAGTAAACAAGAAGCGTTGGATTTCAATAAAAACTATGGAAATTTAAAAATAAAAAAAAGAACTCAAGATTTGAGTCTTCTAATAAAATAAATCGAAAATATATATTTTTGTCATTAAAATTATCCCCACTATAGGAAAATTATTTATAAATCCTATTAGGGAGACTTATACTACATATGGTCCTACTAAAAAATTTATCTTCTCATAAGTTCTGTGAGAAGTTTGTTGACACATTTATCCTCAATATTAGTTGTTAATATCATAAATAATAGTAAAACCATATACAGGAAATTGAATGTTACTATAGATCATATTTATATAAACGTAACGTAATGTGACACCTACATAAACGTAACGTGACACCTAAATTGCATGTTACCATAGATCATATCTACATAAACGTAACGTAATGTGACACTTACATAAACGTAAAGTGACACTTACATAAACGTAAAGTGACTCCTAGGAAATTGAATGTTGCCATAGATCATATCTACATAAACGTAACATAACGTGACACCTACATAAACGTAGCGTGACACCTATGAAATTGAATATTGCCATATATCATAGGTGTCACGTTATGTTTATGTAGATGTCACGTTATGTTACGTTTATATAAGTGTTACGTCACGTTACGTTTATGTAGGATCTTGTGGAATATATTCCTATCTAAATAAGACTTGAGACTTTATAAGAAATTACACAGGACTTAACCTATCATAAGTGTCTGAAAAATGACTTATAAATAAGTCTTCCTAAAATATATTTATCCCATTATCTAAGTGTACAAGTGATTATTGTTACTTTTTTAAAAATATTGTTCACATGGAATAATTGTCACATTTAATAACACTCGAATTGATTTTTTTTTCATTCATCAAACTGTCCTCTCAATTATTAAAACATCCAAAAATTTAAATACAAACATATTGCATTTGTAAGCTCACTCACAAAGTTACAAACAAATAAAGAGGAAAAAGTGGGACAAGTCAATTCATACTTGCATAGCATAAACACATGAACGTTATATAGAATTTCAACATAGTGAGACATGAAAGAAATTCAAACAAGCGAAAAGTAGCAATTTTGCAGAGAACTAAAAGGCTCAATAATATACATAGTCGTCTTCGAAAACCGTGTAGCTGTTCCTTCTGGCTCTTGCTTCTCTATCAGCCTGCATATTACACATAACTCAAGTATGAACACTTTGTCAAATTCGTTTCGTTTTATTGTTATGTATATAGCTTTTGAGATTTACTGGTTTATGTAATTCAGTATGAGTACATTTTGAACTTGTTAATTTTTTAATTTTGAATCAAACTCTATTCGATAAACTTATATGCGCAATAAAAAAATCAAAATTACTAGAGTTGAGTTCGATTAAAACTCATTTTGAAAATGACTTAAAAGTAAACAAATCAAAATTAAATACATTTTAAAACTCGTTAATTTTTTGATCTCGGCTAGAACTCGGTTCGATAAATATAAATGAGCTATAAAAATCAAACTTCTAAAACTTAGTTCGATTAAAACTTGTTTGAAATCAATTTTAAAAGCTAAACGAAGTAAAATTGAACACATTTTAAAACTCATTGAGTTTTAATAACTATTATTTAACTCAACTCGTCCACGGCTCTAGCTACTTGTCATTATTAGGGAAATAGGCCCTATCATTTTTTTTAAATGACTAAGAGCTCAATCTTTGGATCTACACCAGACATAAAGCTCACCTTATGCCCATGAATGGAGCAAACAAGAGCGGAGTACTAGAACCTCTTAGATAGGAACATGTGCAACAAACCATCCCAGCTACCCTCAGGGTTGAAATTTCTTTTTAAAAAATAAAAAATAAAATAATCTCCCAAATAAAAAAAATAAAAAAAGCAGTAGAAATAATTCTCTAGTGATAACAATATACCTTGCTTATGAGCCTTTCAAATGCTTCAGTTCCATGCTCTTCAATATATTTCTCTGCAGCACTTAGAACATCATCTGGCTTGTTGAAAATGTTCTTCTTCCTTGGGATATACCACATGTTTGCAGTTTGTGGGGGGTTTCTGTAAAAAGGTCTAACAAAATGCTCATAGACATAGGCTGCTCCATTGAACTGAGGTAGGACCAACCAGCATGTGGCAATCAACTTCACATAAGGCCAAATTGGAAACCTAACATTGAAAATAAAAAATAAAAATCATATTTGAAAGCTAGGAGTAGCAATTTTTCTTTTACAGACATATATACCGGTCTATCAAAGTGTGCACAAGCTGGTTTTGGGTTGATTTTTCGACCAGCAAACCAACTTGCTTGTTATTTTTTATCATCCTACCGATCTAACCCAATCCTCTCACATCAAACCGTCTGGATTGGTTTTAGACAATTTTTTTGCACACCCTTACTGGTCAGTATTGAATTATAATGAAAAAATTTGGATTGTAGACCATACCCGTGTGTATTGTTTAGGGAGTCGTTGGATTGAAAAAAAGAGTGAATAATATATCAAAATATTTCACCTATTTATTCAAATTGTATTTGATAAAGTGTACAAATTATATTTTAACTATTTAAATTGTTGATCACAAAAAAAATGACATATTTTGTAAAAACTAATTGCATATTAACTTATAAATCATATTACTTTTTGGGAAAACACTATGATACACATCCTAAACCCTTTGAAGGGGTGTGTACCATATGCACCTATTAAGTATTTTTGTGATAAATGTTACGTATTTTTTTGGTAAGAGTTATAGTAATTTGTCATTCAAAAATGAAGTTATGCATTTTGTAATACTGTTATGCATTTTGTGGTAATGATACAAATTTATCTAAACATTTTCTAATCACAAAATATATAACAATATTACAAAATATGTAACATTATTACAAAAATACATAAGTTCATTTCTCAACTACAAATAGTCGTAACATCTACCAAAAAATATATAATATTATTATAAAAATACGTTACACATCACAGAAACACTTGCAAGGTGCATAGGCGTGTACCTTAGAATTTTCCTACTTTTTGTGTTCATTTTGTACTCTGAAGTGCTACAAAAAGTGCTCTGTTTTTTAAAGTAAAAGTATGTTTTGTATAAATTTAAAAAAAAAAAAAAAAGAAAAAAAAGAAAAGAAAAAAGAACATAGTTAATAAGTAACTAATATATTAAAGAGTGTTAGTTATTTATCAAAATATACATATAATCTCAAATTTTCTTTTTTTTATTACAAAACTTGTATATATCTAGAATATTTGATAAATTTATAATATTTATACTAATAATTTTGAAACGATAAACAGATGTACAACATCAAAATAAATAAATTAAAACCAAATAAAAAAGAACCCAAGCTCATTTCAAGTAATTATGTAACAAATTTTATTATTGTTATTACCATTCAAGGACTTTGGCAAATGTAAGCTCAAACAGGGTGATCATAGAATAGATAACCCAATATGTAAGCCATTGCTGATCATCTGTACGGGACTTCGTCTCTATAGCTTTAATTGAAGCGTACCTGCAACATACTCAAATCAGTAAATATCTTAAACTTTTATTTGCTTCACTTTGGTTCTTAAAATTTGCAATCTATTACATTTTAGATCATGACCATTCTGAATAGTTTTTAAATTACCATCAGGGTGATGGCTCAGTGAAGAAAGCAACTCGTTGTTAAAAAAATATAGTTTTATATAGGTATATTTTTTAGTCCAAATTTAAGTGGGTCCCAAACATCTTTTGGGGTTAGTCCGAAGAGGTGAAGTGTTCCTTGCCGCGTGGCAAGTCACACGTGAAGACGGAACGTCAAAACCATTTATGAGTGAATGGGAAGTTGACGTCGTTTTCGGGTCTAACATTAATTTTTTAGATAAAATTCTTTTGAATTTTTCCAATAAAAATTATTGTGGGAATTTAATTTAATTCTAAATTCTAATTTTGGGTTCCTGAGTAGTTTCCTAAAGTTTGTAATTGTGAGAATTTAATTTAATTCTAAATTCAAATTTTAAGTTCCTAAGTGATTTCCTAAAGTTTGTACCTCTTCTTTTATTTATTAAACTATTCAAATATATATATATATATATATATATATTCAAATAGTTTAAATAAATTAAGTTCTCACAAGTTTGACTTTTTCACCAACGGTTCACTCTATTTTCAATTGGTTGAAAATTTGTCCACTAACGGTCAACTTTTCAAATTATTTAATATGAGTAATGTTAGGGACACTAAATTTTCTACCAAACAAATGACCAAATGTCTCACATGGGTGTGGGATCCGCAATTTTGTGGGCCCCACACCCATGTGAGACATTTGGTCATTTATTTGGTAAAAAATTTGAGACCTCTAACATTTTCCATTTAATATTGGTTTTCTTAGTGCTAACCGTCAGAGGATTGGTTTGAAATAAGAGGTGCACATTTTCACTTATTTATGGCACCTATTCGGGTTTGAAGTTGTCTATAAATACATGAGTTTACCAACAGTCTTGGGGATGAATTAAAAAAATAATCTCATATTTTGTCTTTTTGCTATCCAAATTATTTTTAGTGCATTATTCTTCATTTTAGATTTAAGAATAAATATTCAGAGAGTTAGAACACAGGTTTGGTTCGCCGAACAAATTTGTTTGAAATACTTCTACAAATATGTGAAGATCATTGTATCCTGGGAGATAGACGCCACTCAACCGTAAGTACCGTAGCGGGGCGAATCTGTCTTAAGGACAGAGTGTCACACACTCGACTTGGTCTTAATTTTAATTCAGTTCGATAAATAAATCCGGTATGTTATTTATTTATTTTGTTTGAATTTATTTCAAGTTATTTTATATACACAGAAGATTGTTCCAACAATCTTAAGACAAAATCTCTACAATTTTTTCACTGTAAAATGGTTCCTCTGGCCAGTTGAGGACAACTCTGAGACTTACTCAGACATGGGTTGTTGTGAATCGACGTTGCTGGCAGAGACACACCCAGAAAAGGACAACCACCACCACCACCACCAACAGCCGCCGCAGAGCACAAACCCACCTTTCGTCCACCCACCGCCTTCCGGCGGACCAGACACCGGAGTTCCCTCCTTCTCGGAGTTCTCTTTCTCGGACCTTAAAGCCGCCACTAACAACTTCAGCCCCGAATACATCGTCTCCGAAAGCGGCGAAAGGGCCCCCAATCTTGTCTACAAGGGCCGCCTACAGAACCGCCGGTGGATCGCCGTCAAGAAATTCACGAAATTGGCTTGGCCTGACCCTAAGCAATTTGCGGTATTGTAACTTTGTTTGCTTTAGTTTGTTGGGTTTGTTTGTATTTTGTCACTAATTTTGATGGGTTTCTTTAGGAAGAGGCTTGGGGTGTTGGAAAGTTGCGGCATCGAAGACTTGCAAATTTGATTGGGTATTGTTGTGATGGTGATGAGAGATTGCTTGTTGCAGAGTACATGCCTAATGACTCTCTTGCTAAGCATCTATTTCACTGTATGTACAATGAGTTATTGCATTTGGGACTTTTGTTTTGTTAATTTATGTTTTCAAGATTTGCTTTAGCGCTTATATTGATGGGTTTTATATATTTTGGGCTAGTCTTTCCAGTGAATGTGTAAATTTGATTTGGGTAGTTTGTTGAATCTTTTGACAAATAGGCATTCAAATTAAACTAGTGAAGTAACTGTTTGAGTTTGTTTACTTCTGCTTTAATTTATGTTTCGAGTACTTAGGACAATTGCGTGAGTGGTTCAAAGGGTTTGGAGAGAAGGGTGGTAATGTGGATACATTTGCATCTCCAACTAAACATACTTCTATGTCCAGTTCAAAATGGGATGATGCTTGTGTTGGATTTACATTTATTTGTATTCAGTGGTTTGGTGGATCCTAATTACTCCATGATTAGATTAGGTTTGCATTTGTGCTCCTCATAGGTGTTTGGCAGTCGATGATTATAATCCATTATTCTGCAGCGTTAGGATGAATCTAATGAAATAATAAATGTATGCCATATTGAATCTTAGCTGATTTTGGATGTATAGTTTCACTTGGTTAAAATGCTAGTCAATATTTTTTGTTTCGTGTATATACAAGTAATTTTGGAAGCTTGTGGTGTTTTATTGTGCAGAATTGTTTTTCTTCTAATTTAGTATTATTTATCATTTTTTTCTTTTTTTCTGTCCCTGTTAAATTTTATGGTAGAGATCAATTTGCTTTGCTACTTATATATGGCTCTCTAGCTTCAAAACTGAGAATTAGTGTATGCATTTCCATTTATGTTGGATTGATTTCTGGTATTTGTTTTTTCTTACAGGGGAAAATCAGACCATTGAGTGGGCCATGCGTTTGAGAGTAGCACTTTATATAGCTGAAGCCTTGGACTATTGCAGCTCCGAAGGTCGTCCATTGTACCACGACCTGAATGCTTATAGGGTTCTCTTTGAGGAGGTGTCGTGAATTAAATCCTAATACATTTTTTAAAGTTTACTATTACTTTTGCTTTAGTGATGTTATTTTTTCGACTTTCTGTCATATAGGGTGATTATCTAATATTTGGATGGCCTCTGTAGGATGGTGATCCACGGCTTTCATGTTTTGGTTTGATGAAAAATAGTAGGGACGGGAAAAGCTACAGCACAAATCTTGCCTACACACCTCCGGAGTATCTACGAAATGGTGGGTTCATTTTTTCTCTAGATTCAATTGGTAATCATGTTAAAGCAATTATTTCTTGTTTTCAATACTCTGACTAACCTTTCTTTTGTGGCTCTGGTTTATACTTACTGAATTACATATCCTGTGTTGTAGGAAGGGTTACTCCTGAAAGTGTTATATATAGTTTTGGAACTGTCCTTTTGGATCTACTAAGTGGAAAGCACATTCCTCCAAGTCATGTGAGTTTCTTTTTATGTTTAACAACATTCTGTATAGTTGTAGACTTGGCAAAAAATTCAAATAACAGTAGCTAAGATCAGTTAATAATTCTTGAAATTCTCTTCTAAATGATTTGAACTAAACCTTATTTAATAAGTTAATAATTAAATATCTGCTTCTCAAAATCTCATCCATCTTAAAGTTGTATGCCAAAGTGTAGGTTCACAAATCCCTCTGCATTTACAGTAGTGTTATCCACCCCATATGAAGAACTTGTCCTTGCAGTTTTCATCAAGCCTTCAAAATCTCTTTGCACTAATCATGATTTTTGAACTCTACCTTGATTTTTCACCAGACAAGTGTGTTTATATTTACACAAACATGTCACTGAATGTGCGTCGTGAACATCAATACTGGTTTTGGAAGAAGGTTGAACTCCAAAAACACTAGTGTGAGGAAAGTGATTAAGCTTTACGTGACATGGGTATCAATTAAATATATTGCACTCGTTTTCAAACCTTTTGGGAAAAATCATCACCTCCATTTGTCTGTTGTTGTGGGACGAAATTTTTTTCAGAATCTGAAATTTGGTTCTTGTGAACCTTCACAAAGTAAGCTAAAAGGGCTAATAAATATCATAGCATGGTCTGAAGTAGATTGCTAAGTTTGATGAGAGGGACAAGATACATGAATGTGATCAGTGTTGTCCTCATGAGGATTATAGTAAGCTTAGAAAAGTGATCTCCAACTATAATAATTGCGTGTGTTCTTGGTTATCCACTCTTGTGCTACATCAGATTTGTTTTTGTTATTGTTGTTAAGGATTGGGGATTTATCCCCCCAAAAATAATAATAATAATAAATAAATAATTTATTAAGGATTGGGGAGATACGGATATTAGAAATTGATTGTAGAAATGTTTGTGTGACATTAATAAATAAAAAAAATAAGTAAATAAATTCCAAATTAGATTTTGAGTGGAGGGCATGGGGAGGCATTCCAGCCAGTCTTATTTTATCCTTATGATCTTTGTTTAAAATAAAACAACATAAAAAGATGTGCTACATAATACATATCAAAAGGTTCCTTATGATTTTTCATTTTATTCTTGTTGCATGCCTTCAATGATGGTGACATCTACTTGTAATTTTACCTACCTTGAAACAAGATACGTGTTCAAATATTAATTTAATTTTCTCTGATGTATGCAGGCTCTTGATATGATACGTGGCAAGAACATTATTCTCTTAATGGATTCACATTTGGAGGGAAAGTTTTCTACAGAAGAAGCAACAGCTGTTGTTGGTCTTGCCTCGCAATGTTTGCAACATGAACCTAGAGAGCGGCCTAGTACTAAGGACCTTGTTGCGACACTTACTCCGCTGCAAACAAAATCTGATGTAAGTAACATTGCTCTTTAATCTTCAGGAATCATAACCACACATTTTTACCATTATTTGTCCACATGGCTTTCCAATATGATTACCTTTTTACTTTGGTGATTCATCAGCTAGATGGTTTCTCTCTAATTAAAAATATTAAATTATATATTTTACTAAATCTTATCTAACAATTCGGAGAAGCTCAAATTGTTGGAGAATAGCTTTCCAAGTGAAGCCATGGAAGGGATAGAGTCTCTAACTCTTCACAGACCTGGCAACACCTCCTCCGTCCTCTTCCCCTCTTATTTTGTGATTTCAAAATGGTTTGTGTTGCAAATCAATGACTATGTAATCTGTGCCCTTTGACATAAACTGAATGTGATCCTTTTCGATACTTTCTGATATTGCTAAATAGGAGTATTTGTCTGGCAACTATGATCATACAAATGGGTGCACAAAAGAATTGAACGATCCGTGAGCCAAATCAACCTAGCCTTTATGGGTTGGGTTGGTTCTGTTCTAGCTGAGGTTTGGTCATGGGCTCAAAAACCCGAAAACTGATAATATCAGTTATAAACATGGTTATCTTCCTTCCAACCTCCAAGGGTCACTCTAAAACCCAAACAATCCCATAGTACATTTAATTCCCATATAAAAATTCCATGGTTACTTGTGGTATTACTTATCTCTCCTAGTCTATTCCCCTGAAACATACATGACCAATGTATGTTATAAAGAATTACTATGAATGGTGATCACGCTCATACGTAATTTTGATCATTTTTGTTAGCACGCCTGCAACTAGCAACAGTTGTATGCCTTGTTTCTGTAAACATCTCATGATTCATTATACTCAAATTTAATGCTCATTATGCATCATATGTGGAGTAAATTTACTGAATCACTCCTGACTTCACTTGATGAAAATTATATCTAGGACTAAAATATTTACAATATATAGGATGAAACCTTTTCGCAACTAGCCTTTTAGCTCCTCTACTTTTTGCAGTTGGCTTCACCTGCTAAAACAACTGTCTGAGGTGTATCAATGTGCTTTTTAGGTTCCTTCTTATGTCATGCTTGGGATTTCAAAGCATGAGGAAGCCCCACCAACCCCACAGCGCCCTCTTTCACCAATGGGTGAGGCCTGCTCACGGATGGACCTCACAGCAATCCATCAAATCTTGGTTATGACACACTACCGGGATGATGAAGGAACCAATGAGGTAATTGACTTTTACAAGAGGGCTCCCTCACATGTCAATGCACTTTTAATTTCTATGCTAAGGTTTATGTGGTTGTGGTTGTGGTTTGGTTCAGTTATCTTTCCAGGAGTGGACCCAACAGATGAGAGATATGCTGGAGGCAAGGAAGCGTGGGGACTTGGCATTTCGTGACAAGGATTTTAAAACTGCCGTCGACTTGTATTCTCAGGTACGGATTTGTTTAACTTGTGGTGGAGAATAAATATTCTTAGGCTGAGAACATGCCATGAAATTTTCTGCTTATAGGTCAACCCACTTTATAATCTAGCTCCTTCAGCTGATGCCTTTTCCCTTGGATGGTTGATTGCCAGATCACTAGAGAACTGGAACACAGTTCCTAAGTTGTTAAGCTGTGTTTGGATTTTGGGAGGAATTTTGGGAGGGAAAATACAAGAGAATGGAAATGTGAATGAAATATAAGTATCCCCCCCCTCCACATTTCCTTGCTAAAGGTTAGATGGGTCACTTAGTGCAAATTATGCCAACGGTTAGGCCTTTACCCAATCAACCCCTCCCAGACTCCCATCAAATGGGGGACTAAACTTGGTGTAGTTTACATTTCCCTCCATAAATTGCTATCCAAATCCAAGATCAAAACACAGCCTTAATGTTCTTTTCTAGTTCAGTTCACTGTTGGCGATGCCCTTCCTCTCTCCCATGTTCAATTTTATGCATTCTTTTTTAGGGGATTGACAAATTCAACTCTTGAATGAACCAAAGATTGTAACTAGGGATGTGATGTTCTCCGTGGTTCATTTTGTTTGGTTGCCTGTGCAGTTTATAGATGTAGGAACCATGGTCTCCCCAACAGTTTATGCACGGCGAAGCCTATGTTATCTCCTATGTGATCAACCTGACGCTGCTCTTCGAGATGCAATGCAAGCACAAATTGTGTACCCTGACTGGCCAGTGGCCTTTTACATGCAATCAGTCGCCCTTGCCAAGCTCGACATGCACCAGGATGCCGCTGACATGTTGAATGAAGCTGCTGTACTTGAAGAGAAGAAGCAAAAGGGCATGAGAGGATCATGAGAATTTGACGTATTTAATCCCAAATAAATTGATTCATCACCACACCTATTGTTCTTAACACTTCCCTGAGTTAGTGAAATCTTGAGTAGGGAATTGAAGTTGTCTTCTCAATAGCAAATGTATTATAGGGGCAATACATGTTCTTTGCATTAACAGAAGGTTTGCTTTTGCACCAGTTGATGAGAAACTATCATTTTAATCTTGTTAAAAACATACTTGAGCCCATAAATTACAATATGATTGTTGAGCAGGATGATTCTGGTATAACTGTGTCATTTCCGCAAGAAAGCAATTCCAAAATGTTATACATGTTTTTCGCTTTGTAATTTTGGGTTTAAGGGTGGAGAAGTTAAATTTCCCATAGGCGGCAAAGCACTGGAAGGTGCCTGCTTTTCTCTAGCATCTGTTGAATGAATGTTTATTAGGGAAACATGTTTTATATTGCTGCAAACTTGTTCAGAAAGAAAAAAAGGAAAAAGACCATAAATGAGATTTTCTTTTAATCACCAAAACACAAAATTATTTAGACCCTTTTCAAGCTCATCTAATTCCATAAGCAAGGTACCTGTTCGAAACAGGTGCCCTCCAACACCACGACCACCACTGTCACTGCCACCATTCCACCACCACCACCACCACTATTGTTGCCACTCCATCATCACTGTAACCATTGCTGCAACACCACCACTGTCGCACTTCCACCATCACCATTGCCGCCACTCCAACACCACTAATCCACTACCACTTATGCCACCACTACCACCACCACCACAATCGCCGTCGTTGCTACTCCACCACAATTATTGTAAATGGATTGATTGGGTTTATTTACTAAAACTGTATTTGATTTTTTCAAACTCATTCAAACCCGTTAATTAAATTGGTGGGTTTGAGTTTGGGTTTGGGTTGGTTTGCTTTAAATGCAAAGCCTATTTTTGACCCACCCAAAATCTGTCTGTTTTTGCCACATCTACTTTTTTGTCCAAAAAAAGATAAATAGAAAGTAATCAATTATGCCAATGAGAAAAGTGTTAGTAAAAATGTGTGTGAAAACCAATAACAAACCAAATTGGAATGATCACCTTGATCATAATAAATTAATAATATTTTGAGGCAAGGTGTCCACTGCACTCGCGTGCTGCATATTTTGTTTTCACCTGGTGGGAAGGTGACATTGCATAGATATTTACTGAGAGATAGTGTTGAGATCAAATCAAGATCACATGCTATAGCACTCGTGAAGAGTTGATCCAGAGGTTGAGAGATTCCTCTTGTCCGGTGCTGCCATTTTTCTTCTGAAGGAAACAGAGTGTTGTGCCACTCGTGCATCACAATTTTATGGATTATTCAATCCACTACCACAATTGATGCTTAGATATGCCAGTGATTTCAAAGAAAAGAAATTTGAGTTGGTAGTTTGGAACCTCGTGGTGGGGAGACGTTGCATAAACATCGCCAATATAATCATTTAGATCCAATTTCCTAGCCATGTTACCATTTTCTCATAACTGAAGAGAATGAGATTCCTTATGTCTCCTACACCCCCATGATATATATATTGATAACATTGCCAAGGGAAGGGACACAACACAACACAACTCAGTGGTTTTGAATTCAGAAAGAAAAAATGGCTTCCTCTTCTTTGAGATCAAATTACCATGCTCGCTCTGTCAGCTTGCCCTCTAAATCTCATCCTCTCATTCCCCAATTCAATGATCATTTGTGTCGAGTGAGGTCTTCTGAATCTACCTCTTGCTCACTGCCATCAATAAGCAACACATTAAGCGGCCTTGAAGATTTGTACGACTGTGTGGATGATTTGCTTCTACTACCACACACTCAACAAAGCTTGGCCCAAAAATTCCATGAGAAACAGGTTGATGAGGCGTTGGATGGATACCTCAAACTCTTGGATGTTTGTGCAACCGCCAAAGACGTCTTCTCAGAGTCAAAGGAAGATGTGAAACAACTTCTTTCAATCCTGCGTCGAAAAAGGGATGCTAGTAACTTTGGGGGATACTTAAAGCTGCTGTACTTGAAGAGAAGAAGCAAAAGGGCATGAGAGGATCATGAGAATTTGACGTATTTAATCCCAAATAAATTGATTCATCACCACACCTATTGTTCTTAACACTTCCCTGAGTTAGTGAAATCTTGAGTAGGGAATTGAAGTTGTCTTCTCAATAGCAAATGTATTATAGGGGCAATACATGTTCTTTGCATTAACAGAAGGTTTGCTTTTGCACCAGTTGATGAGAAACTATCATTTTAATCTTGTTAAAAACATACTTGAGCCCATAAATTACAATATGATTGTTGAGCAGGATGATTCTGGTATAACTGTGTCATTTCCGCAAGAAAGCAATTCCAAAATGTTATACATGTTTTTCGCTTTGTAATTTTGGGTTTAAGGGTGGAGAAGTTAAATTTCCCATAGGCGGCAAAGCACTGGAAGGTGCCTGCTTTTCTCTAGCATCTGTTGAATGAATGTTTATTAGGGAAACATGTTTTATATTGCTGCAAACTTGTTCAGAAAGAAAAAAAGGAAAAAGACCATAAATGAGATTTTCTTTTAATCACCAAAACACAAAATTATTTAGACCCTTTTCAAGCTCATCTAATTCCATAAGCAAGGTACCTGTTCGAAACAGGTGCCCTCCAACACCACGACCACCACTGTCACTGCCACCATTCCACCACCACCACCACCACTATTGTTGCCACTCCATCATCACTGTAACCATTGCTGCAACACCACCACTGTCGCACTTCCACCATCACCATTGCCGCCACTCCAACACCACTAATCCACTACCACTTATGCCACCACTACCACCACCACCACAATCGCCGTCGTTGCTACTCCACCACAATTATTGTAAATGGATTGATTGGGTTTATTTACTAAAACTGTATTTGATTTTTTCAAACTCATTCAAACCCGTTAATTAAATTGGTGGGTTTGAGTTTGGGTTTGGGTTGGTTTGCTTTAAATGCAAAGCCTATTTTTGACCCACCCAAAATCTGTCTGTTTTTGCCACATCTACTTTTTTGTCCAAAAAAAGATAAATAGAAAGTAATCAATTATGCCAATGAGAAAAGTGTTAGTAAAAATGTGTGTGAAAACCAATAACAAACCAAATTGGAATGATCACCTTGATCATAATAAATTAATAATATTTTGAGGCAAGGTGTCCACTGCACTCGCGTGCTGCATATTTTGTTTTCACCTGGTGGGAAGGTGACATTGCATAGATATTTACTGAGAGATAGTGTTGAGATCAAATCAAGATCACATGCTATAGCACTCGTGAAGAGTTGATCCAGAGGTTGAGAGATTCCTCTTGTCCGGTGCTGCCATTTTTCTTCTGAAGGAAACAGAGTGTTGTGCCACTCGTGCATCACAATTTTATGGATTATTCAATCCACTACCACAATTGATGCTTAGATATGCCAGTGATTTCAAAGAAAAGAAATTTGAGTTGGTAGTTTGGAACCTCGTGGTGGGGAGACGTTGCATAAACATCGCCAATATAATCATTTAGATCCAATTTCCTAGCCATGTTACCATTTTCTCATAACTGAAGAGAATGAGATTCCTTATGTCTCCTACACCCCCATGATATATATATTGATAACATTGCCAAGGGAAGGGACACAACACAACACAACTCAGTGGTTTTGAATTCAGAAAGAAAAAATGGCTTCCTCTTCTTTGAGATCAAATTACCATGCTCGCTCTGTCAGCTTGCCCTCTAAATCTCATCCTCTCATTCCCCAATTCAATGATCATTTGTGTCGAGTGAGGTCTTCTGAATCTACCTCTTGCTCACTGCCATCAATAAGCAACACATTAAGCGGCCTTGAAGATTTGTACGACTGTGTGGATGATTTGCTTCTACTACCACACACTCAACAAAGCTTGGCCCAAAAATTCCATGAGAAACAGGTTGATGAGGCGTTGGATGGATACCTCAAACTCTTGGATGTTTGTGCAACCGCCAAAGACGTCTTCTCAGAGTCAAAGGAAGATGTGAAACAACTTCTTTCAATCCTGCGTCGAAAAAGGGATGCTAGTAACTTTGGGGGATACTTAACCTCTAGAAAGAAGGCGAAGAAGGTCATGAAAAACTTGCTCAAGGATTTGAAGAGCATTGAAAACAAAAACATGATTCTAGACTTGGATAAAGACCATGAAACTGTTGTCATATTTAGCATATTGAAAGAGGTTGAATCAGTCACTAGAGGATCATGAGAATTTGACGTATTTAATCCCAAATAAATTGATTCATCACCACACCTATTGTTCTTAACACTTCCCTGAGTTAGTGAAATCTTGAGTAGGGAATTGAAGTTGTCTTCTCAATAGCAAATGTATTATAGGGGCAATACATGTTCTTTGCATTAACAGAAGGTTTGCTTTTGCACCAGTTGATGAGAAACTATCATTTTAATCTTGTTAAAAACATACTTGAGCCCATAAATTACAATATGATTGTTGAGCAGGATGATTCTGGTATAACTGTGTCATTTCCGCAAGAAAGCAATTCCAAAATGTTATACATGTTTTTCGCTTTGTAATTTTGGGTTTAAGGGTGGAGAAGTTAAATTTCCCATAGGCGGCAAAGCACTGGAAGGTGCCTGCTTTTCTCTAGCATCTGTTGAATGAATGTTTATTAGGGAAACATGTTTTATATTGCTGCAAACTTGTTCAGAAAGAAAAAAAGGAAAAAGACCATAAATGAGATTTTCTTTTAATCACCAAAACACAAAATTATTTAGACCCTTTTCAAGCTCATCTAATTCCATAAGCAAGGTACCTGTTCGAAACAGGTGCCCTCCAACACCACGACCACCACTGTCACTGCCACCATTCCACCACCACCACCACCACTATTGTTGCCACTCCATCATCACTGTAACCATTGCTGCAACACCACCACTGTCGCACTTCCACCATCACCATTGCCGCCACTCCAACACCACTAATCCACTACCACTTATGCCACCACTACCACCACCACCACAATCGCCGTCGTTGCTACTCCACCACAATTATTGTAAATGGATTGATTGGGTTTATTTACTAAAACTGTATTTGATTTTTTCAAACTCATTCAAACCCGTTAATTAAATTGGTGGGTTTGAGTTTGAGTTTGGGTTTGGGTTGGTTTGCTTTAAATGCAAAGCCTATTTTTGACCCACCCAAAATCTGTCTGTTTTTGCCACATCTACTTTTTTGTCCAAAAAAAGATAAATAGAAAGTAATCAATTATGCCAATGAGAAAAGTGTTAGTAAAAATGTGTGTGAAAACCAATAACAAACCAAATTGGAATGATCACCTTGATCATAATAAATTAATAATATTTTGAGGCAAGGTGTCCACTGCACTCGCGTGCTGCATATTTTGTTTTCACCTGGTGGGAAGGTGACATTGCATAGATATTTACTGAGAGATAGTGTTGAGATCAAATCAAGATCACATGCTATAGCACTCGTGAAGAGTTGATCCAGAGGTTGAGAGATTCCTCTTGTCCGGTGCTGCCATTTTTCTTCTGAAGGAAACAGAGTGTTGTGCCACTCGTGCATCACAATTTTATGGATTATTCAATCCACTACCACAATTGATGCTTAGATATGCCAGTGATTTCAAAGAAAAGAAATTTGAGTTGGTAGTTTGGAACCTCGTGGTGGGGAGACGTTGCATAAACATCGCCAATATAATCATTTAGATCCAATTTCCTAGCCATGTTACCATTTTCTCATAACTGAAGAGAATGAGATTCCTTATGTCTCCTACACCCCCATGATATATATATTGATAACATTGCCAACGGAAGGGACACAACACAACACAACTCAGTGGTTTTGAATTCAGAAAGAAAAAATGGCTTCCTCTTCTTTGAGATCAAATTACCATGCTCGCTCTGTCAGCTTGCCCTCTAAATCTCATCCTCTCATTCCCCAATTCAATGATCATTTGTGTCGAGTGAGGTCTTCTGAATCTACCTCTTGCTCACTGCCATCAATAAGCAACACATTAAGCGGCCTTGAAGATTTGTACGACTGTGTGGATGATTTGCTTCTACTACCACACACTCAACAAAGCTTGGCCCAAAAATTCCATGAGAAACAGGTTGATGAGGCGTTGGATGGATACCTCAAACTCTTGGATGTTTGTGCAACCGCCAAAGACGTCTTCTCAGAGTCAAAGGAAGATGTGAAACAACTTCTTTCAATCCTGCGTCGAAAAAGGGATGCTAGTAACTTTGGGGGATACTTAACCTCTAGAAAGAAGGCGAAGAAGGTCATGAAAAACTTGCTCAAGGATTTGAAGAGCATTGAAAACAAAAACATGATTCTAGACTTGGATAAAGACCATGAAACTGTTGTCATATTTAGCATATTGAAAGAGGTTGAATCAGTCACTCTGGCAGTATTGGAGTCCTTCTTGTCCTATGCTGCGGGATCAAAGATGCACTCAAAGAGAAGTGGCGCGTGGTCTTTGGTTTCCAAACTGATGCACCAGAAGAGTACTGTGGCTTGTCAAGCCAAAGATACAGTTATCAATGAGTTTGAAAAGGTTGATGCTGCAGTGCAGTCGCTCATCAGTCACATGCCAAGCAAATCTGATGACAACAAAATTGTGCAAAACCAGCTTGAAAAGTTTGAGTTAAGCATTCAAGATCTTGAAGGAATTCTAGAGCGCTTGCTCAGGCGTTTGATTAAAACCAGAGTTTTTCTCCTCAACATTCTCAACCACTAGCCTAGAAAATCTTGATGTCACAGATACTTGAAATGTAAATGAGAAATATACTTGTAAATTGTCCTCTAATTATAAATCAATATACTCAATCGGTGCAAATTATTGCGTATATATACATTACTTCTTTCTGTTCTTAGATCATTTATTCGTTAATCACTTGAAGATAAATGTGGTAATTGGTGCCATCTTTGTTAGTTTTCAAATTTTAATGATAAAAATGAAAGTGAAAGAAGCATATCATGTATTAAATAACCTCAAAAATTCAAATTTGTGTCAATGAAGAAGGTGAAAAAATTGAGGTTAACAACATGAATCGTAGATTCACAGTCGAGACCCTTTTCATTTGATTCAAAAAAGTATTTTATGTAATTTAATGATTTCAAAGATGTCAGAGATTCCAATTGTCTGAAGGGGATGATTGAACACTAATTAAAAAAATTTTGAGATTCACATGGTGGTTCAACTTTCAACTCTAATATTGTTTAAGAAACCAAAAAGTGTTGGTTGTCTCCTTGTTTGGAAGACGGTCTAATTTCTGTTAGCTAGTCAGCCTCACCCCATCCCTATAAATTATGAAACGACGTGGGAAAGCCATGTGGATCTCGCTGGCTAGCTTCTCGTGCACAAGCACAACATTCAATACCTGCTTAATTTGACTGAAAATCACTCTGAACATTGGTTAAAGAATGATTTTTCATCATGGTGGCTGATAAGCCCAAGTGTGAATTTTCTCAAGGACTTGTTCATTTGGAAGCACTGATAATCTAGTTCTGTCACCACTCACAAGCTTCGACTTCAATTCATCTGATATGTGATGGCACTATTTAGGTTCAATTCATTCGTTCAGTTTTGCAACATGACAAGCCTGATTACATGATTGCATCATAATGATGTACCATGACAATAGTAATTAATTGTGTACATGTGCGAGCATTCACATGTTAGATGATAATTTTGTCTCCTAAAGAGCCAGACCTCAACAAGAAAAGCTCATAATACTGCTATTTGATTTGCCAGTGTTTCACAATTATTGTGTAAAAAAAAGAGAAGAAAATGTACATAGAAGATGCATACAAACGAACATGCACGCTTGATTGCACATTGAAAAGATGAGAGCAGAAGGGGAAGATTAATGGTGCTGGTATTTTCTTGCAAGAGGAGACAGTATGTCAATGCCACTCGTGCATTGCATATTTTACGGACCATGTTGTACCCTGTTGCATGGATCAATATTATGTTAAGATGTGCATGTGATTTTTCAATTTAAAAAGACTTGGGAGGAGACATTGCAGAAACATTGCCAACGGAGCACTAATAATTGAAGAAGAAGGATTCCTTTATCTCCTTCCCACCATGAAATACATTGTGCATATATATACATATGCCAAGGAAGGAACACAACATTGCAAAATTGAATTGTGCATCTCCTTGATAAAGCCTAATTCCTAATTAGAAAGAAAAATGGCTTCTTCTCCTTTGAGATCGAAAGCCCCTTACCATGCTCGATCTGTCAGCTTGCCCTCCAGATCTCATCCACTCATTCCTGAGCACTTGTGCAGAATACGAACTCCAGATCATGAAGCTTCCTCTTCTTCATTGACATCTATAAGCAACAAATTGAGTGGCCTCAAAGATTTGCATGATTGTGTCAGTGATTTGCTTCTACTGCCACATATTGAACAAGCCTTGGCCCGAGAGCACAATGAGAAATTTGTTGATGAGGTGGTGGATGGATATCTAAGGCTCTTGGATGTGTGTTCCACCACCAAAGATGTCTTCTCACAGAAAAAGCAAGATGTACAAGACATTCTCTCAACGCTGCGAAGGAAAAGGGATGCAAATGACTTCCCCAGATACGTAGCCTCTAGAAAGATGATGAAGAAGACGATCCAGAAGCCCTTGAAGGATTTGAAAAGTATCAAAAACAAAAGCGCCCTCCTTCTGAAGGACAAAGACAGCGAAACTGTTGCCATTTTTGGCATGTTAAAAGAGGTTGAAACAACCACTCTTGCTGTGTTTGAATCCTTGTTATCCTATGTTGGTGTGCAATCAAGGCAAAGAGGCTGGTCTTTGGTTTCCAAGCTGTTTCAATGCAAGAGTGTTTCATGTCAAGATGAAGAAACAAATGGGAATGAGTTTGAGAAGCTTGATGGTGCATTGAAGGCAGGAAAATTCAATTGCACACAAAATCAGTTTGGCAAGATGGAGTCAAGCATTCAAGATATTGAAGACAGACTAGAGTGCTTGTTTAGGCGTTTAATCAAAACCAGAGTTTCACTCCTCAACATTCTTAACAACCACTAGTTGAGAAAATCATGATGCATAGACGCGCATCAAAAATTTTGTTACTCAGAGAAAAGCCTTCTGATCAGCTGTTCATACTTGTAAATGAGAGATATACTAGTTATTTTTTACTCTTAAGGCCAAGTTTGGCAACTTCAATATAATACATCTTTTTATCTTTTTATCTTTTTTCCATTACATCACCTCTCTACTTTTCTGCACATCTTTTCGTAAAAAGACAAAAAGTGCACTTATTTAGGTCATCCCAAACAACCCATTATAAATCATAACACTTGTTACAATTTTTCGTGCAATGCTTCTCTTTTCCTCATCTGATAGCATTCAATCAATTTGGTGGAAATGGAATTGATACTTTCAACATGCCCCATCTTTTAACCTCTTCAATATTTCATCTCATACACATGGAGTCACTTGTGGGGGGAAATGTGAGCAATATTTCAGTGAATTAGCGTTAAGGAAATGGTGTTAGTAATGTAAGTTAAGTTTGAGAAACCTGGTAATCTCAGCAATCAAGCCAATTATTTCCAGTTTTGCAACGTGATTGGATCAAGGATTTGAGGGGGATTTGTGAAGAGAAAGGGAAAAGGAATAAAATTTAGCTTCTATTTTCATTAACTTTTTCCTTTTTTTTTTCTCATTCATTCTACAAATCTTTTAATGCAAACATATCCTATTGAACCACAGAGCTCTCAGCAAATAATTGGCAAATAATGATGCATTATGTTGTTCTGAATTGTGGTTTCAATCACACAATAAAACACTGAACAATTATTTTTATTTAACGCCCCTCGTGCACTGCATGTTATTATTTTCGTAGGCTTTAATAATTATTTAATGAATTATTAGTCAGTTGCATATTGCACTAAGAAAGACCTGTGATTTAGGAGTTACAACAATTGGATGGGGATCAGATCAAGATCATGAGGTAGAGATTCCTCTTGTCTCCTGTAACTGATGATATATATATGGTGATGGATGGTGCTGGCATTTTCTTCTGAAGGAAATTCGTTCCACTCGTGCATAGCAATTTTATGGATTACTCAATACAGTATCACCATTTATGCTAGGATATGCCATTCATTTCAAAGAAAAAACAATTGGGTTGGTAGAACTTGGTGGTGGGGAGACATCACATAAACATTGCCAACATATAATTTAGATCAATTTCATAGGAATGTTGCCATTTCCTCATAATTGAAGAGAATGAGATTCCTTATGCCTCCTACACCCCATGATAGTACGCTTTCTGTATTTCTGTATATTCAATTGTGTGTATGTTTACAATCAGACCTTCGGTTATATAGCCCTAACTCCTAAACCAAAAAGGGAAAATACAATCATGCCTCTAATAGGACTCTAATACAATCACACCTAAACCAAAAAGGAAAATACAATGACACCTCTAATAGGACTCTAATATGTACAACTACAATCATGCCTAATTTGGAAAATACACAATATATTCTCACACTCCCACTCAAACTCAAGGTGTTTTAGCAGAAAACACTGAGAGTTTGCTAAGAAGAAACTGAAACCGAGCGGTAGTGTGAGTCTTGGTGAAGAAGTCCGCAAGTTGCAAAGCCGAAAAGATGAAAGGAAACGAGATAGAGTCAGACTACAAATGCTGGCGAACAAAGTGACAATCCATCTCAATGTGTTTCGTTCGCTTATGGAAGACAGTATTGTGGGCAATCTGAATAGCACTGTGGTGTCATAATAGAGAGAGGTCGGAGAAGACTGAGAGACACCCAAATCAAACAAGAGACAACGAAACCAAACAATCTCAGCAATGGCATGAGCCATAGCACGATACTCAGCTTCCGCAGTAGAGCAAGCAACGACTGATTGTTTCTTGCTTTCTCAAGAGATCAAGGAATCACCAAGAAACATACAGAAACTAGACGTAGACTTGCGATCAGTAACATCACTAGCCCAATCAGAGTCAGCATAGGCCACCAAGTCCAAAGAGGAAGTAGAGGACAATAGTAAGCCCTGAAAGATGGTACCCCTGAGATAGCGAAGAATGCAAACCAAAGTAACCTAATGAGTACAGCGAGGAGCATAAATGAACTGACTAACCACATGAACAGCATAAGCAAGATCAGAGCGAATGACAGTCAGATAAACTAAACAACCCACAAGCTCGCGATATAAAGTGGGATCATTCAGAGAGACACCATCAGTAGAGTTAAGCTTCACATTAAGCTCAATAGGTGTATCAGGAACCTTAGTATCAGTAAGACCAACACGGTGAATAACTTCATTAGCATACTTAGCCTGAGATAGAAAATAGCCCTTTAGAGAAGAAGCAACCTCAATACCAAGAAAATACTGTAATGGACCCAGATCTTTCATTTCGAAGGTGCGGAAGAGATGCTGCCTGACCTTAGAGATAACAGAAGAGTTAGAGTTAATGATGATCATATCATCCACATAGAGTAAGAGAGCAACAAAACCAACCAAGGTATGTCTCAGAAATAAAATAGAGTCAAAAGCAGAAAGATGAAACCCAAGCTCAGTAACAACAGTCTGAAAGCAATCATACCAAGTACGAGGAGACTGTTTCAGACCATACAGAGCACGCCAAAAACGACAAACCTGGCCAGAGGAATGGTGAAGGCCACGGGGAGGACGCATGTAAACCTGCTCAGTGAGATGGCCATTAAGAACAGCATCCTTAACATCCATCTGATAAAGAGGCCAATAACGAATAGCAGCGACAGAGATCAAAGTACGAACAATAGTCATCTTAGCAATATGAGCAAATGTCTCATTATAATCAATACCATATTCTTGAGAGAAACCTTTGGTAACCAGATGAGCTT